TGCGAAAAGTATTTTCCAAAGTTATACGCCTCATGTGCTAACTCATAACCTTCAAGATATATTCCTCAATCACACGGTAATTAGCATGATGTGGTACCAACAGTGAAGTGTATACTTTACCAGTTTTGCCAACAATATTCCTCAATCACACGGTAATTATCACGCTGTGGTACCAACAGTGAAGTGTAGACTTCACCAGCTTTGCCAACAATATTCCTCAATCACACGGTAATTAGCACGCTGTGGTACCAACAGTGAAGTGTAGACGTTACCAGCTTTGCCAACAATATTCCTCAATCACACGGTAATTAGCACGCTGTTGTACCAACAGTGAAGTGTATACTTTACCAGCTTTGCCAACAATATTCCTCAATCACACGGTAATTAGCACGCTGTGGTACCAACAGTGAAGTGTATACTTTACCAGTTTTGCCAACACTATTCCTCAATCACACGGTAATTAGCACGCTGTGGTACCAACAGTGAAGTGTAGACTTCACCAGCTTTGCCAACAATATTCCTCAATCACACAGTAATTAACACGCTGTGGTACCAACAGTGAACTGTAGACGTCACCAGCTTTGAAAACAATATTCCTCAATCACACGGTAATTAGCACGTTGTGGTACCAACAGTGAAGTGTAGACTTCACCAGCTTTGCTAACAATATTCCTCAATCACACGGTAATTAGCACTCTATGTTACCAACAGTGAAGTGTAGACTTCACCAGATTTGCCAGCAATATTTCTCAATCACACGGTAATTAGCAAGTTGTGGTACCAACAGTGAATTTTAGACTTCACAAGTTTTGCCAACACTATTCCTCAATCACACGGTAATTAGCACGCTGTGGTACCAACAGTGAAGTGTAGACTTCACCAGCTTTGCCAACAATATTCCTCATTCATACTGTAATTAGCACGCTCTAGTACCAAAGTGAAGTGTAGACTTTACCGGCTTTGCCAATAAGTACACTTTGCATAACAAAGTTAATTGTCTCTTGGCCATTTCAAAACTTTTCCAGATTGAAATGTTAGTACTAACCTAACATGACATAAAACCCTGAACTAGTATCTTCATAGAGAGGTGGGGGAGGAGGCGGGGTAGGGGCGAGGGCGTGGCGGGGAGGGGCAGGAGAATGGACAGGGTCGGGTGCAGAGGTGGAGACAGAGGCTGGGGAAAGTAGCCTTCATTTTCTTTTGTATTTCTCAATCCTCTTTTAATCTCTCTACTCAGCGGTTGCATTTACTTCTTTTATATTTCTGGTTCTGCCTATCCTCGCACTGAATTTGCACTTCCATCATTTGCTTCTGACGCTAAACATTTCTAAAAGCCATTCCCATGTGACTTTTCAGCAGCAAATTCCTTGAATATTCTATGAAAACCAGATGATGATGATAATGATAATAATGATAATAATAATAATAATAATAATAATAATAATAATAATAATAATAATAATAATAATAATAAGAAGAAGAAGAAGAAGAAGAAGAAGAAGAAGATGATGATGATGATGATGATGATGATGATGATGATGATGAAAAAGAAGAAGACTGATGACTTTGTATATTGCCAAATATTAAGAAGCTTTAAAAGCTTTACAACATTTGACAACAATTAAAAAACATGCAAAACAAAAATAAAAACAAACACCACCACGAAATTAGAGAACAGAAAACATACTGTCAAGGAAACATTGTTAGGTTTTAAGTATGTTCTTGCAGTTGAAATAGATGGGTTTAAGAGCACTCTTGAATAAGATCACTGTGTTTTTGTGTCTAAGTGCAGTGGGCAATTCGTTCCACGTTGATGGGCCCTGGTATGCAAAAGACCGTTGTCCATATGATTTCAACTTCATAATGGGAATAATTAGAATACGAGTGTCAGAAGAGGAGCGTAAGTAACTTGCTGGTTTGTACACATGAGTGAGGTCGGATAGGTATGTTTGACTGGAGCCCGTCAGTGAAACATAACACAAAGTACAAATTGTGTTTAATTCTGGATCGAATGGATACCCAGTGTAGGGTACAGAGCAGGGGAAGGCGTGCTCTGATCGTGGTACTCAAAGGATGATCAGAGAAACTGTGTTTTGAACTTTTTTGAAGTTTCCGGAGTAGATATTGTGACGAACCAGACAGAATTGAGTTACAATTGTCCAGTCTTGAAAGTACTAAGAAACACACAAGAGATGTAGACTTGCCAATCAAACCCACAGCACCATTGTCCAAAATTTCCTGTCAGATTCAAAGCCTTCAATTATGACACAATCTAGTTCACAGTAATTCCAATGAATAATTTAAGTAAGTAATTATGATAAAAAGATTTCCACATACTGACCACAATAAGAATGAATTGCTTCTTTATCAAATCCCAATTTATTTATATTTTCACTCGACCTATAGCGTAATAACCGCAAACGAAACCCTTGCTACATAACCATGTTTTTTACACCTTACAATCATGGGCAAAATGAGCAGTGTAAACATGTTATTTACAACTTACAATCATGGGCAAAAGTTAGCATTGTAAATTTTCTTGTTTTTCCAACTTACAACCATAGACAAACTATAAGCACACAATATGAATAAAATATACATAAGGGAAAAAAACATTACCCAATCACTTTTGTTAAACATTGACTTCTTTTTCAGTCTTTTGAAATTAGCTTTGACAGAGTTGACGGCCACATTTTAAAAGTGCATCAGTCCGGACCATACTTGATCATCTAAGCCGAAATTAAAAGTGGATGAATATTTATGTTAATAAAGAAAAAATCAGCAGTATCTTAGTGTTATTTTTCACATATAAGGTGTTACGTGAAGGCTCGTTCAAACGTAACAAACAAAAAAGTGAAGGAAACGAGCTATTTAAATTTTAACAAATTACTTTATTTCCCTAAATAAGAATTGAAATATATAAGTGCTTTCAATGAATAGTTCTAATTAAATCGAGGTTCGAATCTCGATGAAGTTCCAATATGGAAGGCGATGACATCAGATGAGGTCGTTTTACTGATGATAACAGTTCCTAGTTGAATTTTGTGAATCAAAAAAATATTCCGGCTTTAGAATTCCAAATAATTTTCACTGAATCTCTTTGTCCCAGGATTGTTATAAAGAAATGCACGTGTTGTGTTCCAGCGAATATAAATTATTAAATCCCAAAAATAGATGAACTTCAAAACAAACTTGTATCAACAAATAAAGAAAACCACCTTGAGGTCTAACGGTGTAAACATACGACTAGCAAATCTGCTAGGAATCGTCTAACACGTGGTTCTAACATGACCTTGAAAATAACAAATCAGTTTATCTTAGTGTTTATAAAACATTTCAACCAAGGCGAGCTAAAAATAGTGATAAAGCAATATTTTGCTTTTTGACCAGGTCAAGCTAAAAGACTGAACATTCTTTTCAAAATAACAAATCTCATGAAATTAATCATTACAATAAAAAAAAAGAATTTAAAACTAACACATAAATAATTTAGTTACATATACATAACAACAGTGTCAGCATCGTTTGTCGCCGGAGATGAAGTTCAGTTCAAAGAGCTTAGCGTCTATCTGATTGTACTTAATTGTCTTTTGACAATTCTGTTTAAGATGAATTCTAAAGAGCCACGCGATGGTGATCTTAATTAATTTAATTGTGACAGGGTGCTGAATCAGCTGTATTGGCGAGTCAACATCGAAGGTGATTCTGTGTCTTTTGTCGATTAATATCTAGGTGACAACGGAGATAACAGACCCTCGTACACGTTAAAATATATCTTATACGTGAGGGCTGGATAGAAGTTGATAATTGTATCCACCCTGATGTAAAAATAACAACTAGAGGTCAATATGAAATCATCACGTTAATAAGAAAAATTCCCGGTCACTGGAATCATGGGATTGTTTATACTACGAGGATTGGGATTTCATCGACAACTCTAACTCGATGCAATTGTCGTCAATTATATCGATATATCAAACCACCAACATTAATTCGCCAAGCAAAAGAAAAACATAGACTATTGTTTGACAGACTCTGTTATCCATGTAACATTTCTTGGCTTAAATCAAAGATGATTGCTGACAACACCAAGCGTGGATGCAGACTAAGTAGTTCTAAGTAAACCTAAAATCATGATAGCAACCACTGGAGACAAAGGCATTCTCAGGAAGATATATTTTTACAGGGAGGAGGCGGACAAATTTGAATGATTGGATATTTGAATCAAATCGTCTACTTGCTTCGTTGATCAGTGACTTGTGAAGCGAATTGGGTAATTTTCTCATGAGAGCCATTTATTTAAATGTAAATACCGAAGAAAAAGTCCATTTATAATTTGTCAGATCCACCTAAAACTATATCAACTATAAAAAAACGAATCTAAACTTACAAATATTGATGAGCTGGTGGATTAAGATGAATTATTTTTCCTATGTTAGTGATATTGAAGAACTCTAAATGAATCTACAATATATATATATATATATATATATATATATATATATATATATATATATATATATATATATATATATATATATATGAATTTAATTTCAGAACTACTACATTTGGCAAATGCCATAAGAATATCAAAATCAGAAAATCTGAAGTTTCGTCGATATTATAGACATAAGTGGTAGCAAAGTTCCGTTAGAACTGTCAACATATCTATAATTAACTGTTGCTAGAAATTTTCCACGGATAAATATATTTCGTTGTTTGCTGTTTAGAAGTATCTTTTTCCACATTTCAAAACATAAATCAAGAGGAAGTGTGTACATGAGTATTTGTGTCTGTGTTATTTGGATTTTGAATATGGCTTTGACAATTTCAGTCATATCTCTACAATGTCTGCAGTGTGGCACTTTATGGTGGTCTAGCACTGGGGCATCACCTATTGACGTTATCCTGACACTAGGACGACCAGCCCTAACATTAACTTCTTAATGCTGAGCGCCAAACGAAGAATCTGTTTGTAACATTTTTACAAGTCCTTGGTATGACTCGGCTGGGGTTCGAACCTGCAACCTCCCGCATCCAAGGAGGACGCTCTAACTAATTAGGCCACCGGAGATGTCCATGAGGAAGTGAGACAATCGTTTTCTAAAACAGACATTAAATAGAAATATGAATCACAATCTGCATGCAGGATATAACTTTTCCTTGGATATTAAACAGGATATAACTTATCCTAGGATATTAAACAGAATATAACTTATCCTAGGATATTAAACAGGATATAACTTATCATAGGATATTAAACAGGATATAATGTATCCTAGGATATTAAACAGGATATAATTTAAGCTAGGATATCATGCATGATTTAGTTTGACCTAGAATTTCACGTGAGATATTTTTTATCATAGAAGGAAGGAAACAAACTGCACAATTTATTAGTATACTTTTTAACTATTTCGCTCAAGAGAACTTGTGCATTCGGGTAACGAATTAGTTCTTGTGTGAGTCAAAATAGTGCCCTAGACGATTAAGTGACGTCAAGAGGCGTAAAGTTAAGTAAACATGTCATGATGTAACTTCTACTACAGTTATATCACAGTCTTATCGAAAAAATTGTGTTTTCACTTAATTTTATCAAACAGAATTCGTATTCTATGATGCCCACACCGTTGGGGAAGAGCGATATCTGACAGCCATGAGGTATGCGACTATTTAACTGGATTTTTGACTAGTACCTTCTGCCATCACGGTCCATAGCCACGCACACTCAGGCTAACAAATTTTGCTATACCCCATTGGTATAGGCAGCCCTGATCAACAAAATATATCGCTATGGACCATGGGTGTAATCAGCCAGGACCAATAAACGTGTTATGGACCATGGGTGTAGAAAGCCAGGCCCAATAAACGTGATATGGAGCATGGGTGTAGTCATCCAGGACCAATACCAAACAGAAATAAACGTGCTATGGACCATTGGTGTAGTTATCCAGGTCCAATAAACGTACTATGGACCATGGGTGTAGTCAGTCAGGACCAATAAAGTGCTATGGACCATGGGTGTAGTTATCCAGGGCCAACAAAAATTGCTATTCTCCATGGGTGTAGTTAACCCGGACCAGAAATGTTTATCACTCTGGCCCATGGGTGTAGTCAACCCGGACCAGAAATGTTAATCACTATGGCCCAACGGTGTAGTCAACCCGGACCAGAAATGTTTATCACTCTGGCCCATGGATGTAGTCAACCCGGACCAGAAATGTTAATCACTATGGCCCATGGGTGTAGTCAACCCGGACCAGAAATGTTTATGACTCTGGCCCATGGGTGTAGTCAACCAGGGCCAACAAAATCATATTAATAATGCAGTATTATATACTCTGGTTTATAAGCAGATGCTATAAATATAATAAATCTCAATATAACTAAATTTAAATAAAGACACTATTGTGATGAATGGGTTAAATTAATAAGTGCTCACCGTGGCAAAGGGTTGATTTATATTTAGCACATACATTACAGTCATATCAACCTGATACAAACTATATACGCATGCTGTATGAATCTAGTTGATAATAGCCAAACTTCCGAAGAAAAGACAAAACAGTAGAGTTCTAGATAAAAACAGTGTGTCAACCGTCTAACAACTGTTGGCGTCAGAACAAGGAGATTCTGCCTGCGTGAGTATAAGTACACGCGAAAACCATATGGTATTTGTAAAAAAAACAACAAATTACAGATATACGCGCAAACACACAAGCAGTTTCTTCCGAGGCTGCTTATCTATAGATAAAATGCGGGCAACAGACAACAGAATAAGGCTTGAATTTCTTTTTATATAGAGCCAGATAGGTTTCAGGGGCCCTGGATTGCACAAGACGCACGCCTTTACAGTTAGCTACAATCTACCTCTGTTCAATTCTCTTTCTCGGCCAACGTGGGGATGTGAGAAAGCTTGCCAGTAGCTTCCCGTGTGTCGTTGGTTTTTATCGGGGCTCTTCTGGGTTCTTCCACTACTATTATACTGGCCGCCATGCATAGCCTATGTTGCGCTGAGAAACCCAAACCAAAATATTATGTATTTCATAACAACGACCCTCTCGTTTAAAAGTGTTTATTTATCTAAGAAAATGAAATAGACAATATGTAATGATCCTGACATAGTTCTCTTCGGGGGTGGGGATTAGTTGGTATGGTAGAACTACATTCTCTGGTGCCGTATTGCGCATGAAAACTGCGGTGGCACAGTGGTTAGACTCCTGGTCGAAAGTGTGCTGATTCGAATCCTACCATCGGACTAGCCTTGGCCAGCTACATCAGTGTTTTTGGTCAAGTCACTTTACTTGAATTGACTAAGCACTAAACAGCCTATTTATGTTGCTGTGTTGCAAAGTACCAAATTAAACCAAAGCAGTTTTGCGTAAAGCATTTGCTATACAAATTATCTTAGCACACATTTTCTTTTCAGATAGCAGATTAAACTATAGTCTTTCCTATTTTCAACTGCTTTACCGGAACGAAGAGGCATACATACTAAAAATTTTATTTAGTTTACGAAATCACGAATTAGAATATTGGCTGATTCAGTTTTGACTTAGTTAAACAACAATCTGCATCCAACGTGTCGGAGAATTTCACACATGTATTAACTAAGTTTTAGTACGAAAAGAATTTCACACATGTGTTAGCTAAGTTTTAGTACGAAAAGAATTTCACACGTGTGTTAACTAAGTTTTAGTACCAAAAGAATTTCTTTCGTATAAACGACTGTGTGTACTGTATCAGCTGCAAACTCGGTAATTTGGAACTCAAAGGAATGTGCGGTGTGGAAACGATGAGGTTTGGTTTTTTGAAGAAATTAAGGCAATTAATCCGAAATCTTCCTCCACTCTATTTATATGTATGGCACAAGTCGGATATTTGACACCATCGTGATCTGTAGAGCTTACTGAGTCTGATATTTGGCTCGCTACAGACACAATCAAATCACCAGACGTAACATGTTCCAGGATGGTAAGCGGCCAAATATCCAGGCATCTTCTGTTGACCGTGCCTCCATAATTCATACACACACCACGACCTGACACGTGTCCGCATTCAAAACGGAAGTGAGAGGGGATTTACGATATTAATGTAATATGTCTCTTTCATTCCATTGAGTGCATGCCAAAATTTTTCTTTTCTAATCTTGCCAGAATAAACATCAGATATCTCCTATATGACCTACAGCGTTGTATGTTGCATGTTGAAATCTGTATTTTGACATAGTCCCCTTAGGAAGTTTTAAACAAATACATTGCTTAAAAAAAAAACAATTCGCAAGGGTTCTCTCTCTCTCTCTCTCTCTCTCTCTCTCTCTCTCTCTCTCTCTCTCTCTCTCTCTCTCTCTCTCTCTCTCTCTCTCTCAGACAGGTGACAAGTAAATACGTGCATTCATTATGTTATATTTACTAAACTATCTAATTAACAAAGACAGAGGTAAACAAAAAGCATTTTGAATTATTTCTCCATATGCGGTCTTTTCAACTCTGCTTGAATTGAAACAGTACTTTTTTTTTACGAAAGACATGACTTGAAAAACACACACGACTTCTTCCTTACATCTTATGAGAACAAACAAGACTATTGGTGTCCTAGATTTCCTCTTCATTCAAGCGCTTTTAAAAGAAACTATGGATTTTTGTATCACGACCTTCTTGCGTACATAATATAAATACCAATCCTCCAATACCGTTTAGGATACAAACTTCTGAATTCCATACATCCCATATGGATGTTGAATTTCTGATCTTGAATATTTTAAATTTTAAAATGTCTAAAACATAAAATATAAAAAGCTCCTAAGCACTTTTTTTACTTAAAACGTTGGATAGGTGTTAAATTTAAAATCGGAAACGTGATGCCATCTCCAAACTATAACATACTAATTGAAGGTAAATACGTGTAATAATAATAATAAAAATAATATTAATAAACAAATCGATATATATTTGATTTTTACCTAGGTCTGATCTATTATGTTGATATATATACATACATACATACGCACGCACGCACGCACACACACACACACACATACATACATACATACATACATACATACATACATACATACATACATACATACATACATACATACATACATACATACATACATACATACATACATTTAAAATTTGTATGTAAAAACAGTAGCATATCTTCTTAAAGCCGGAAGGTTCTAAATACCTTTGAGAATTTTTTTTTAGCAATTTCTGAGCGCTTGCAGACCTGTCATTAGCTAGTTTCTTACGTTGTTGTTGTTGTTGTTGGGTTTATCTCCATTTTTCAGCACACGATAGGCTATTCATGGCGGTCAGTATTAATGGTGGAGGAAGAAACTGGGAAATCATCAAAAAGAGCCACCGACTCACGAGAAGCTACAGGCAAGCTTTCTCACTTATCCACATTCGCTGAATCCTAGATTCGAACTCACGCAGACAGAGGTGAGATGGCAGTGATCCGTAACGGACAGCGCTTTAGACCACTCGGCCACTCGGGGCCTCAGTTTCTTACGTGCCTGAATACCAAAGCTGCTCACAGTATAATGCTGGAACATACAAAATATATGTATATTGTTGGAATATACCAAATATATGTATGCTGGAAATAAAGAAAACAAATGGACCGATAGAGAAAACTTGTCGCATTCCTTCGTGTTGTTTTTATTTTAAATAGGGAGTTCCATTTTCTGTTTGCGTTTCGCTTAAATCAGAAAATCCAAAGTACATGTTTTAAGCACATCGTACACTGAGTGTCCGTCTTTATCGAGATAAGAATGTTTTGATCCTTGGCTGAAATATCATATAGAGAAGATCAACATTTGACGTTATCATTGACTTGTCTGATTCTATCCTTCTTCAAGCCTGAACAGCAGTTTTGGATCAAATGAATTTGACTTTCGGAATTGTTGTATTATTTGCAGTAGCAGTCTAAGGCAGCACTGATTATTAGGTGCGGGTGTTGGTCAGTGTGTATGCGTGCTGGTCAGTAAGACTGCGTTTTAATGACCAGCATCTATCTCTCATTTTGTCAGTGTTTGGGTTCTCGGCAATAAGATTGCGTGTTAGTGTTAGTC